TAATAATGCTGCTCCAAAATGTATCTTTTTTATTAAATTAATTAATTTTAAATACTAATTCATAAAATTATGGAAGAGGAGCAAACCTTTGGAGAGGATTCAATTACCAATGTGCTCTTAAATGGGAAGGAGTTGAGTCTTGTGGATGATACCACTGTTTCCCTGTATTAATATTGGGGTCATGTGACTGATATTGAAGCCATATTTTGATTATAAAAGAGAGCCGCACGGTCAATTTTTATCTTAAATTTTAAGGAGCCTTTTAAAAAATTTAAAGAAATAAACACATTAACTTTGGCATAGCAATATATTTATGAAAATGTAATATAATATGTACGTACATAAAAACATAAATAGCTTTCATAAGAATAAAGAAAACACCAGGAACAAACATAAACTTGTAATACCAATTACTAGAATCCACTGAGTCAGTAGTGCTGTTATGGGACAATGTATTACACACTTTTACAACAAAATTTCAGAAAAGTACAAATTTTGTCAATTAACAAGTTGAAATGTTTTATTAAAGGAAAAATGTACAAAACTGTTATAAATAGCTTTCATAAGAATAAAGATGTTCAAACTTTAAACACTAGGAACAAAAATAGGCTTGTAATACCAGTTACTAGAATCCACTGAGTCAATAGTGCTTTTATGGGGGCAATGTATTATAGGCTTTTACAATAAAATTGCAGAAAATTTACAAAATTTGTCAATTTACAAGTTGAAATGTTTTATTAAAGGAAAAATGTACAAAAAGTGTTATAAATAGCTTTCATAAGAATAAAGATGTTCAAACTTTAAACACTAGGAACAAAAATAGGCTTGTAATACCAGTTACTAGAATCCACTGAGTCAATAGTGCTTTTATGGGGGCAATGTATTATAGGCTTTTACAATAAAATTGCAGAAAATTTACAAAATTTGTCAATTTACAAGTTGAAATGTTTTATTAAAGGAAAAATGTACAAAAAGTGTTATAAATAGCTTTCATAAGAATAAAGATGTTAAAACTTTAAACACTAGGAACAAACATAAGCTTGTAATACTAGTTAATAGAATCCACTGAGTCAGTAGTGCTTTATAGGGCAATGTATTATACGCTTTTACAACAAAATTGCAGAAAATGTACAAAAATTGTCAATTAACAACTTGAAATGTTTTATTAAAGGAAAAATGTACAAAAAGTGTTATAAATAGCTTTCATAAGAATAAAGATGTTCAAACTTTAAACACTGGGAACAAAAATAGGCTTGTAATACCAGTTACTAGAATCCACTGAGTCAGTAGTGCTTTTATGGGGTCAATGTGTTATACGCTTTTACAACAAAATTGCAGAAAATGTACAAAATTTGTCAATTAACAACTTGAAATGTTTTATGAAAGGAAAAATGTACAAAAAGTGTTATAAATAGCTTTTATAAGAATAAAGGTGTTCAAACTTTAAACACCAGGAACAAACATAAGCTTGTAATACCAGTTACTAGAATCCACTGAGTCAGTAGTGCTTTATGGGGCAATGTATTATAAGCTTTCACAACAAAATTTCAGAAAATTTTCAAAATTTGTCAATTAACAACTTGAAATGTTTTATTAAAGGAAAAATGTACAAAAAGTGTTATAATATCAAAGAATACATAAAATAACTCCTGGGTATGAGGTGATCGCAATCATGCTTGTATGTACTATTAAAATTTATTTAAAAAATGATATTGTAAAGTGAAATATGTTTAAAAAAAAGTCACGCTGGGTTTCTTGTTGGTTCTTCCCAGGACAGTGGTATCGGTGGTAAATAAAACACGATTTCCAATAAGCATTATGTAATAATCTATATTTAATTAAAAAAAATGTTCTATTCTCTGTAATATAAGATATTTACTAACTAGTAGGGACATTGTATAAAGAAATCAATTGATATTGTGCAAATACTGTTAAATTTAACACATCTAATGTTATTCAATAACTAAGCAAAGAATTTTTAGACAATAAACCTTTTAAAAATAACCTGTTTTTTTATTTTTTGGTATAGGAACTTACAATTACCACGAGAAACATAAACAACTATTAATTACATTGCAGCACTTGCGCAATGTAATTAGTGGTTGTATATAAAATAAAAATATTAAAGTGCAAAAAAAGGGCGAGCCCAAAGCACCAATATTTTAACGCCATCTATTAGGCAAAACAAGAACTTTAACTAAAATTAAACTTGAGTCGCACATCTATCTCTAGTATATATACAGTAATCTATGGTTGTACATATGTAATTGAACAAAACGTTTAGCTTACTATGACCGACATAATTATTTTTATGACCAGAACCCAGTACATAATAAATCAGCATAGTAGTTGATTTGATGTCTACATACAAATTGAATTGAATTAAAATTAACAACTATTCATAAAAACGTGAATAATTATAGTCTTTGAATACCAAGTCCTTTCACACATGAAATGAATCGTCATTAGGTGCGTTCTGAAACTATTATTTGAAGTAATTTTGAACAGTTACAATAGAAGTAAATGAATAACTTTTTTTTGTGGCTACTTAGAGAGGTATACCTTAAACAATAAGGGTATTTTACATAAATATTTCATATTCTGGGACTCTGTAATTTCGTTGTCTGGTACAATTTGGCCATCCTCCTTTTGTTATCACTGGGCCGCAAGCCATGCAGTAGAAATGCTACATTTATGCCACTGTGTACACTGCAGCACTGCGCCAGCTCCAAAAGCATTCTAATAGCATATTGCATAATATATATTATATCATTATAAGGCAGAAGTTGCAATTCAAAATCATTCATTAAAAAAGGAGATTCCAATACAATTTGATCTATGCTGTCATTGTTTCATTTGATCTCTATATGCATACCTGATTGTCGTACTTTTTTCAGGTACATTGATTACAAGAAGGCGTACAGATGTGAAAATAAAAAAAATTAATTAACAAAATCATAAATTTAAAAAGCAAAAAGCAATGAAAATGGCGAAGACAAAAATTGTTTCCGTATTTTTTTTTAACTTCCTTAAATCTCATTGTAATAGGTAAAACTTTTTTTTCACAGCATATAATATGTTCTGAATAATGTTTTAGACACTTTCTAAAATCTTTGATTAAAGGATTTAAATAAAATCAAACAAAAGTGACTAACTTCAGTCAGTCAATAATATCTGCAGTATCTTTGCTCTCTCGGGTTAATTAATAATGTTTTGAAAATAAAATCAAAACAAAGTTGTTACAGAGAAATATTTATTTAACATTAATTATTCATGTTTCAATTGTAAAGACTTACTTGCACAAAATCTTAAACCATCTGATACACGTTGGTTAAAATTCGTGCTTTACTCTTAAATTTAGGTATTTTATCAGGTTACACTGAGGTATCTGTCAGCTTACATGTCCATCATTCAGTAGTTCATTTTCTCCCGCATCAATATCTAACTGTTATTATTATTTATGCTCCCATTTAGCAGTCTACTATGTCATGCCTGTAAATCTTAATTCTTTTGAAATAAAATTTCCCTTTCTATAAGTGTATGATCAAATAAAGAGAATTGTTTCTTATTTTAAATTTCAAAAAGCATTATTTCTGCCTTTGTTTTATTAACTTAATTATTGCTTACCTTGGTGTTAATTGTAAATTGATCATAAACACCATTTAATCAAGTTTGTTATAAATCTTTTATTACATATTTTTTTAATTACTGCCAGAGTAGCATTTTTGCAAAATCTATAACAAATTGATAGCTTATTATGACCTTTATCTCCTTTATCATCAAACCAAAACATATTCATGGCCATATTTTCACTCTTAACCTCCTCAGTCTTCAAAACCTATGACAGTTGCATTGTAATGTAGATTACAATGCAACTGTCATAGGTTTTGAAGACTGAGGAGGTTAAGAGTGAAAATACTTTTTTATATATTTATACTTTACAATTGCATTTCATCAACCATTAAGAAACACAAGAAATCTGCTATACTCAAGCTTAGTCCTTTCATTTGCTTAAATATAATTGGGTTTATACTTGGTTCAATTAGTATTTATTTAAGGACATTTTCAATGTCCATCTTGAGGACAAAGTGAACAATTTCCTTAAGAATCTATATCTTTTAAGGCTTACATATTGAAAGTGCTAAACAATTTGTCTTCAAAATTGTATTATCTTCCACTACATTCATATTATACTGTACTAACTGCATATTCAGGAATATGTGGGTGTGCCTAGTCAAAGATATCAGAGTTTTATTCATTTTTTTTCTTGGTATTATTTTTGTTGCTTTATGTAGTCTTTTCCACAATTTATTAGATTGATTATAATTTCAAATATTCCTTTTTAAAGTTGTATTATAATATATTATGTTATGTTATAATATACAAAATGTTCATTTTGTTAAAAAAAAAAGTATATTGATTACACATGTAAACAATAGTAAAGTGGGCATAAGAAGTCACTTTTGTAAATCATTTGTATTGATTTATATGTTACACTAGATAAGTAATTTCCGCGCCAAAGCGTTGTCACTTCACATAAGGCCACAGCCTTATACTCAGCGAACGTCGGTTCAGTGTTCAAGGTGACGCCGTCCGAGTTAAGCCGAACGATTCACAACAAAAAATGGGTAAATGCGTAGTGAAAGAATGCGTTTCAAGGTCACAAAAACATAATAAATCAAGCGGAATCACTTTCTATACGTAAGTTTTAATTTATATATTCATATTAACGTTTAAAACACTAAAAAATTAAATAAAATATCGAATATTGCAATTTAGGTTCAATGTTGCCACTTTTCCGCCTTTGTGATTTTTCCACATTAATGGGAGACTGTATAATTTATGGAATAAGTTAATTTTGTTTTAAAATAAACAAGTAAAATTGATTGCTTAAAAATAAAAACTATGTTTCAACCTTTATACAAAATAATTATTCTTATTTTAGTTTATTCATGAATGGTCTATTAATTATATTTTATATTATATTAATAAATTTGCAGTGTACCTAAAGATGCAGCACGCCGTAAGAAGTGGGTGGAAATAATAAGGTTGTTAAGAAAGGAGACTGACTGGGTGCCTTCTAAATCTACTGTCATTTGTTCTAAGCACTTCCGGAATCAAGACATACTTGAACCAAAAAGCGATTGCGGCCGTGTTCATTTGTCTAACGAAGCAATTCCAATGATTGTAGTAAGTAAATGTTTAATAAGGTAGTTAATTCATATTGTCACAACATAGGTAATATTTGTCAAAAATACCTTTTCTTAAACTCAATATTCACTCATTCAAACACACACACACACACACACACACGTTGTGCACACGACTAATGCTTTTTCTCATTCCTTGATTTTCGTTTACTGCATGTTAGTTAATTGTTAACCAAATTTTATTGAAAGCACTGGTTTGTACAGGTACTGGTTTCTCACATATACAGTTATTACAACTAGTTTAGAAGCCAGGGTTCCATTTAAATTGTTAAAAGATTTGTGGCAAATAAATAATTTATTTATTTATTTAAAACTTTTATAGCAATGTGTAATGCAAACTAAATGTTTTTATCTTAGTTATCAGGTTAATCATAATGCTATTTTGACTACAATAATTAATGGATATTTTTCAGGACGAACCTCATTTTGAAAAGCCGGTAGAACTTTTAATAGAAGAAAATATGGATTTTGATGTTATGGAAACCGATGAAGAGATAGATGAAATAACTGAAACACCGCGAAAGCACAAAATGAGAAAAATAATTCACCGTTTGAAAATTGTATCCACACGAAGACTAAATAAAATAAAAAATATATCACAGAAAATTAAAAGACTAAAAACAAAAAATAAAAAGTTAAAAGATGTTATCAAAGAACTGAAAATAAAACGTATGTTGAGCGAAGAAGAGGAGATGCAGCTAAATTTGAATGGAGAAACCGTGCAATTGATGGAAGAATTTAAAAAATCCTTCGAACAGAAAAGAACTTTTAATAAATTTCCTTATGTGTTAAAGAAATTTGCATTAACATTAAACTTTTACTCCCCTGCTGCCTATAAATATGTTCGATCTGCATTCAGCAACGCATTACCGCATCCAAGAACACTAGTTAATTGGTATAGCAAAATTAACGGGGATCCTGGATTTACGTCAGAGGCTTTTAATGTTCTTAAGGTCAAAAGTGATAATTCTAAGTCCAAGATCATTTGTAATTTAGTTATCGATGAAATGGCTATCCGTCAACAAAAAATTTTCGATGGAAAGAAGCATGTTGGGTTTGTTGATTATGGATTAGATGACACAAACGATACACAAAATCTAGCATCCTCCGCATTGGTTCTACTTCTCGTATGTTTGAATCAAATATGGAAGATACCTATTGGATATTTTTTTACTTATGGGCTATCTTCAGTCAAACTTGCAAATATAATAAATTTGGCACTGACAAAATGCGCAGAAATTAACGTAGAAGTAGCGTCAGTAACATGTGATGGCAGTCAGACCAATATTGCTGCAATGCGAGTTTTAGGATGTAACCTAAACGACGCAAATAACTTGAAAACTACTTTCAAACATCCTACAACAGGAAACGATGTGGTGCTATTGTTAGACGCTTGTCACATGCTCAAACTAGTGAGAAACAGTTTTCAATCAAAGAAAATATTTTTAAACAAAAATAATGACAAGATAGAATGGAAGTATGTAAAACGTTTACAGGAAATTCAAGAAATTGAAGGGCTTAGAACAGGCAACAAATTAACCAACCGCCATATTAATTTTCGAAATCAAATCATGAAGGTTAAGCTGGCATCACAGCTGCTAAGTAATAGTGTGGCTCAGTCTCTTCATTTGGCTAAGGACTTGTCTTCTGAATTTTCAAAAAGTGAATCCACTGCGGAATTTATTAAAATACACAATGATGTCTTTGATGTATTAAATTCCAAGGGAGACCCCCAAGCTTACGGCTATAAGAAAAGTTTCAAACCCGAAACAAAAAAATGATATATACGCATTGATTGAAAAATATAAAGAGTATGTTACGAACCTAAGTGTAGAAGTGACAACAAAAAAAAAAACAATTAAGCGAAAGGGTCAGATACACAAAATAATTATTAAAAAAAATATGAAAAAAGTATTAGATTGTAAATTTAAAACGGGATTTTTGGGTTTTCTAATTTGTCTGGAAAGTTTAAAAGTATTGTATGCAAGGTTGATTGAGACTAACGTAATGAAATATATCGCAACATATAGACTTTCACAAGATCATCTAGAATTATTTTTTGGTTGTATCCGGCAAAAAAGGCGGTTACAATAACAATCCTAATGTTGTGCAGTTTAAATCAGCCTACAAAAAATTATTAAACCATCTTGAATTAAAAAACAGTTTTAGAGGCAACTGTGTGCCCCTTGAAAAAATTAATGTCTTATGTTCTACAACATCTACAATTGATAAGGACCATATAGAAGAAATCAACAAGTCTTCCTTTGATCGTCGCCATGACGACATTGACGAGGAAAAACCACAAACCATAAAGAATAATCAAAATGAAACAGATTTAGAAAAAGAATGGGTCGTGCTACAAACGAATGATAACATTTTTACAAACATAACAAAACAAGTCATTGGATATATTTCCGGCTATATTGTTGACAAAGTTGGTCAAAATCTTAAATGTGAAATATGCATCAAAGCTTTACTAGCTACAGAACTGGAGTGGTTTCATAAGCTAATTAATATAAAAGATAAAGGAGGTTTATGTTATCCATCAAAACATGCGTTTGAAATATGCATGAGTTGTGAAAGCACTATAAGACATGCCATAAAACTTTCCGAAACTAAGTCTTTGTCTACTAAATTTGGTCTTATGACATTAGCTACAAAAACATTAAAAGTGCTTCAAGGAAATATATTATTAAAAGAATTTGCAATACACCCGGGGGAATCATTTATCTTCAATACAAGTTGATTAATGCCATTGAATAATGCCTTTTATTGATTAATGCCATTATTTATAAGTACTTAAAAATAAGATTGTACCACGAAAGTAAATTATACACTCAAACACACAAAAAAAGAATCCAAAAGGCAATTATATAACAAACTGATGCTTCATAGCGGAGTTTGAGAGCATGGACTATTATGAATATTTAAGCGGATTAGTATTACAGATTAAAACCATTTATATTATCTTACAAATAGACTTCCGCAGAGTCACGCCTGAATCCATTAACTATCCTCAGTATTGTTGCAAAAAAAATATAAAAACTTTTTAAAGTTGTTAAGTAGTTTAGAAATTCTATAAACAAGAAAATCAACGAAATTTATTGATAACCAAAGTTTTTGTAGCTAATGTCATGAGACTAAATTTAAGAGACAAAAACTTGGTGATGATTTCACAACTTATGCATATTCAACACAGATCTCGCTTAAGAAACCTAAAATTGTTTTTTTTATTTGCTTTATTTTTTGTTTGATTTATTAGTACAATAAAAATAATATATAAAAACATATTTTATTTCATTACTTATGCTTACTTCTGTTCATCTAATAAGAAAATATACAAATTTAAAATAAAAACAATTTACTGCAACTTTAAAAAAAAAACTCCTTTATATTGCTCATTTTGGGTAAAATTTCATAAAGTATGCAACACCAACCCGCCACTGCATGTTTGTGTGTCTATCTTTATCTAATCTTAGGGACGATATTGTTTTCCGCGACTTGTGTAAGTGAGACAGATATATGTTTACTTAAAAATTTTAATGATTTCAAAGCTACGTCGTCGCATTTGGATAGTGGTTACACTTTGTTCGACGCGCGGCAATGTGGTTTGCTCCTCTAGTCTTGTATAACTCAATGATCATTTGTATTTTTAAAAGGTATAGTTGTTACACACATTTAAAAAAATAGTTACATTACTAAAATATGATAACGTTATCAAGTACATATTTTAAGGATTAATACTGCTGCTCCAAATTGTATCTTTTTATATTCAAGTAAAGATGCACCACTATTAACAATTAATTGATACTAATTCATGAAATTTTGGAAGAGGAGCAAAACTTTGGAAAGGATTCAAATACCAATATGCTCTTAAATGGGAAGGAGTTTAGTCTTGTGGATAACACTGTTTTTCTCGGTATTACTATTGGGCTCATGCGACTAACATTGAAGCCATACTTGTTTTGTAAAATAGAGCCGTCGTATGGACAATTAATATCTTAAATTGTAAAGAGTCCCTTAGAGAAAAATTTATGAAATAACCCGCATTATAATTATGAAAATGTAATGCATGTAGGTACATAAAAACATAAATAGCTTTCATAATATATACTAGGAATAGAGATGTTCATAATTTAAACACTAGGAATAAACATAGCTTTTAATACCATTTACTAGACTCCAGTAGTTCTTTTATGGGACAATGTCTATACGCTTATACAACAAAATCCCAGAAAATGTACAAAATTTGTCATTTAACAAGTTTAAATGTTTTATTAAAGGAAAAATGTACAAAAAGTGTTTTATAATATCAAAGAATACATCAATAAAAATAACCTCTGGGAATGAGGTGATCGCCACCATGCTTGTTCTATTAAAATTTATTTAAAAAAATACAAACAAAATTATTGTAAAGTGAAATATGTTTTAAAAAAGAGTCGAACCAGTTATAAATAAAATTCAATAAGTTTAAATTAAGACATTCAATAAGTTTTATGTAATAATCTGTATTGAATAAAAATTATACTATTTATTCTATTCTCTGTAATATATCAAATAACCATTAGGGACATTGTATAAAGAAATCAATTGATATTGTGCAAATATTGGTAAATTTAACACATCTAATGTTAATCAATAATTAAGCCAAGAATTTTTAAACAATACCTAAAAAATTTTAAAAATAACCGGTTTTTATTTTTGTAGCAGAAACTAACAATTAGCACAAGAAACATAAACAACTATTAATTACATTGCAGCACTTGTGCAATGTAATTGATGGTTGTATATAAAATAAAAATTGTAAAGTGCAAATAAAGGGCGAGCTTAAAGCACTTTTTATTTAGCGCCATCTGTTATTCAAAGCACGTACCAATAACGAAAATAAAATTTGAGTCGCACATCTATCTCTAGTATATATGTTACCGGAAATGTATGAAATCTAGGAATTGTATACAAATCCTAGGAAATTTATATAATTCCGAAGTTATTTAGGAAATGTATAAAATATTGTTTCAAAAACTATTTAATACATATATGTCCTAGGAATTGTGCACAATTTTTTTTTTTTTATAGAATAGGGTGACAAACGAGCACACAGTCCACCCGATGGTAAGTGGTCGCTGCGGCCCATAGACATCTACATCTATCCTCCATTAAAAATCAAAATGCAAATGCGTTGTCACCCGTGAGGACTGAGATGGAATGCCTCGTTTCCAGTAAAAAGGGTCTCCGGTTCTCTACACTCACCATACGAAATACAGCAGCATTAAGCCACCATTTCACGCCGGCATTCTATGAGAGTGCGGTCCCTCCCCTCGGTCGAGCCGACCCATTCGTGCTACAACTATACTACCAATATAACTGCAGCATGGCTCTACCACGTAAAAATTATACATACGTAAAAATTATACATATATTGTAATTATATACAATTCCTAGGAATTGTATATAATTCCAATATCGTATTAGGAAATGTATAAAAATTGTAGGTTTTTCTTAGCACTTTGACGATTGTCTTGTACTTTATATTTTTTTGAACATAATAGACACAAAACTTTAGATCCAAATCCTTCATTAGATGATTCTTCAGCAACAGCGCAAATAGCGTGGATTGCACATCCACATTCTCTACATGTATGAGCCTCTGTAGTTTCTTGTGAACAGACGCTGCATTGGAGGGTGCTAGCTGGAGGTTGCGTATTTGTTTCGCGTTGATCTGAATCGTTGTTAGAAACTTGACTTGCCTCCGTGTTCACCTTAGACTTCGGGATCTTCTTCTTTTTTGGTAAGGTCCTGTATAATTTTCTCCAAATCTTCTTCAGTTTCTACATTTTGCGTGAAATCATTGGGTAACTGTAAACCAACTTTTACTTTACACCCAAAAAGTGCCTCATAAGGAGATTGCTTAATACCAGCGTGAAAAGCTCTGTTTTTCATGAGTTGCACAAATCTCAAACCCTTACTCCAATGTGAATTATTATTGTCTTGCATCCACGTGGTCAACATATTTTCAATATCCTGATTTGCTCTTTCCACACCCCTGACTTTGCGAATGCCTGGGTTTACCATGAATAATTTTTAAAGTAGGCCAATATGTTTTTAAATTCTCAATAATTCGGTTGGAAAATTCTCTGCCGTTATCAGACTGAAGTATTGCAGGAGCACCAAGTAGAGTAAATATGTCCAATAAAGTGTGAGCCACTTCCTCAGCTCGTTTTAAGTGGTTTTAAAACAACAAATTTTGTTAAATTATCTTGATACACCATTATAAATTTGTTATCACCGTCGGGCTGGGACTGAAAATCTATCAGATCCACTTGGCATCTAGAGTTAAACTCTGACGATATAATAGGCTTTACAACAATGCCTTTTTTGATGTTTTTTTGCTTTTGTTGACAGGGTTCACAAAGTTCAAGATAAGTTTCTATATCCTTACGTGTTATGTTTTTGTAGTCACTCCCTACCTCTTTCATTATACGATCTCTTCCGCTGTGACCAATTTGAATATGTGCCTCGTGTAATATGTCGAATAACTCGCTATCACATGCGTAGTAAATAATAGTGCTTGTAGTGTCTTTAACAGGAAAAATAAGCTTACTTTTCTGGTCAATGGTAAGCACATCGTATCGCCGCAATAACCAATAATCACGAGAAGTCTTTCTGGCTGTTATTTTTGCCGTGGAAACTTCTTCAATTAACTCTTTATAACGTTCATCTTCAATATAAGCAGTGTTCTTAGCGTTTGTTAACGTTCTTAATGACGTTAAAGTACTATAAAATCGCTCTTTCATAAGCGCGATGCGTGATTCGGTAGCCATTTTGAACAACAGCGACGTGCGTACACACTGACAGTTAACGCGGCACTAGCGAGATCGCCTGATCAGACAAAACAATACCCTCCCCCTCGCCCCGCTATCCCCGCATACCCATTGATATCTCAAATATTTACATTTCCGACTGCTATTTAGACACTGTATAGATTTCCTAGGAAATGTGTCTAATATAATTTATTTTACACATTTCCGTGCGATTTTAGGAATTACATACATTTCCTAGGAATTGTATACAATAACGGATTACATACATTTCCGGTAACATATACACAGTAATCCATGAGCGTGGGACTTACTCAAAGCGTCCGCAGTGGGCACGCGCAAGTAAGTCCCCCCTCGCGCGTAAGTGAGTTGTCGAGCCCAAGTAATTCCGACGAAGGCCGAATGCTTGAACCGAAATCTGCGTTGGTACTTAATGCATTATGCCATCCGATCTGTTCGGGAATTTGTGAATTAAATAGGCTAAATAACTTAAAGGAAATAAATTAAAGAGTATAATTGCGTAATTCAGAAAATTTATTTTACTCTTTTTGCACCATACACCCTTATATCTATATTTAAAAGAAACATTATTGAATGTATTTTACTAATTTTTAAGTAATAACAATTATGTTTATATTCTAAGAAGTAAAAGTTTTGTTACAATTTTTTGTAAATTCAGTTTAGTTGTTATTGTGAACTGATTACGTAATCTACTGACCGTGACCTAGTTGTTAAATAGTTATTTCGCGTGTTTATTGAAGAATTTATAGACAATTTTTAAACTTTTATTAACTAGTGTCTTAGAGTAGTTACATAAATAAAACTGAACATTATTGTGTTTATTAGTTGGAAATTACGAATTTTAAACTGTAAATAATGGTGTGTAAATAGTGTTTTTTCTGTGTAGACTACAGATCATAGGTTTTTGTTGTTAATAGTAAATAGATATACGTACCTAATAATCCATAGTTATGGCTCCTAAGAAAATTTGGCGTGGGATTATTTTGTGGACAAAGGGGAAAATAAAGCCGAATGCAAGATGTGCAAAGTAATTAAACAATTTATACAAGTTTAGCTAAACAGGCCAAAATAAAATTTAACGTAATGGCCTTCAGCGTGCCTTGTGAATGGTTGTTTTCAGTAGCAGGAAACATATTAACAGCATTGAGGTATTACTACTACGTATAGAGGAGACATCGCCTTGCACGATTCTGCGCCACGCATTGCGGTACACTGCACCGCAACTGTTTAGTAGCGGTGGGTAGTAGCGGCTTTTTTGAGTAACGAAACGAAACTATCTATCGAATATGAATAGCGGCTTTTGAAACACTCTATCTATTAATAGAGGGTTTTGAAACACTATATTTTAATAGCGGCTTTAATAGAGTGTTTCACGACGTGTTTAATTGAAAAACGTTGCGAATGAAACGACGTCCGTTTCACGAGAAAACTTGTTTGTTACCGTTTCGTATAGAATTAGACATGGTGTTAATGGTTAAATTTATTTATTTGTTACATCATTTCGCACGGTTTGATAAAAATATCACTTGAAAATATTTAACGGCAAACGATTTATTTAATAATTATGATTATGATAAATTCACCCACAAGTTCAGCATAAAATACTGAATACAAGTTTGATTTTATAGCAAATAATTATCACATAAAGTTATATATTTTTGATAACTATCACATAAAGTTTTAGTATTACTTTTACACTTAGTTACTTACACTAATTACTGTACAATTATTATTATTAACACTAATATATACTTTACAATTGCATTGAGTTCTTATTTTTCTAAAAATATTATTATTATTATTGCACAAAAAGAAAACAAAAATATTAACAAACGCGCCTAAAAAGTAAAAACAAACCGTGTCATTAAACTTAAACACAAGACTAATTTAAACCGGGCCAAGGCCACTTAAATTACGGAATTTGAACTATTTTGGTTAAAAACATGCACACTTACTTTCTCATTTCTAATATCGCATCTATACGAAGGGAATAGAGTCATAGGTCAAATGCAAAAGCACCCGCGCTCACTCGACACTCGACGACCGGTGGTACTTCTACCACAGCGTGAAGAGTAGGTTTCTTTACTCATGTGCTTCTTCTACTTCAACAGCCGAAGCCGTCGCCGATGCGTCGCGAAAATAGCCGAATAAACGTTTTGTTACTGATCGCTCGTGAAACGTGAATCGTGTTACTGAGTAAAACGTCTACTGTAATAGAAGGTTTCGTTGCACTGCAATAACCCGCTACCCGCTATTGTGTGAATAGATAGTTTCAGTAACTAGTTACGTTTTGTAACGACCACTCCTACTGTTTAGTGAGAGTCCAACTCCCACACAGACGAGTCGTGTTCGCTTCGCATAAATAACAACTTCAGCAGTAAACACTCCAGAACATAAAAAAGTGATAGTTTAACATTTCATCGGTAAGTAGATATTAAAACGTTAAAAAACTCTTTCATTTAAAGTTTTTCGCGTCGTAAAAATGCTACGAGAATCGGGCTTTCGACCGCCGCCATTTTGCAGTACTAAAGTAAAGTAAAGTTACAGCCTATATACTTCCCACTGCTGGGCACAGGCCACCTATCATTACTGAGAAGGTTTTAGGGCAAGAAACTGTCCGCCGCGCTGCCCCAATGCGTGTTGGCGAGCTTCACATGTCTTCGAAATATTTTTTTTCTTACTTCTCAGACATGCAGGTTTCCTCACGATGTTTTCCTTCACCGCCAAGCACGTGGTAAATCAGCACTTAAAGTAGTACAGTACAGTTGCAGTACTAATCATAGAGTAATGAAAACAAAAGACGCGGATACGCAACATACATTTGTGCCTATTTTGTTGTTCAGTTTGTCAATAGTATATGTGTTATTTATTATTGTGTGTTATTATTGTGTAAAGTAAGTAAATTGTGATTTTTACCTAAATAATTTTTAAGGTTTCTTCCGCATCATAAACTAATAAGTATAAAAGATATGGGTCTTTTATGCTACTCCACTGAAGATGTTTATAAAAATGTCTATCTACGGAAATGGTTATACGTCGTTATAATTCGGTCGAGTGGCAAGAATGGCCTGTCATCTAAATACGACTACAACTATACAACTAATGCATTGAAGTGTTTTGTTGAGAAAGACGTATTCGTTTGTTTACTTGGTCATTCAATAATAAACAAATATACCACTGTTCGATTGCACCACGAGGCAAAAATAACAAATGGTTATACGAGCAAACGCCAAAAGCTCACTAAGCTTATATTGTTTAAAGGCAATTAAATATTAATTTGTGTTGAATTATTTAGAATGTGTAGTAAATAAAGTTTATATTAAATTACGAGACTTTTATTTCACTTCTTTTATTTATTCAATGACAAAGAATATTATTGGCAGAGTATTATTTTATAGTAAGTACAAAAGTTGTGTCACTTCTGCGTTGTTAAATCTATAGGAGTGACTTGTTGTACACTACGTTGAACAATACGCCTAAGCGCTACGAGATCCCTGGCGTTTGTGACGCAAACTAGCGCTGTATGTTTTAATAGTTTGGTTAGACGATGTAACTATTATTTTAACGCTGCGGCAAACTTTAGTTCTAACTCTTACCAAAATGACGCAAACTTTTGGCTCGGAATGTCTCTTCTATACGTTAGTAATATAGTTCGATGATTAACAGAGAGGAGGACCCATCTAGGGAGTGGTAAAGTAGAACATTTTTTGCTTCCACAACAAAATAAAAAAATAAATGTAAATATAAAAAAAAGTAGAAAAAAGCCGTACCACATACCTAAAATAGTGTTTTATAAATGATATTTAAGATAAGAAAACAATTTTACCCCATAAAATATTAGGAAATACTAACAAGGCGATTGGATTCGTATATGAGTGCAATCAATTGCAGCAAGAACTCTAGGAAATCCTGCAATATGATAGAATTTTTCAGCACTTTGTTGGTGTACTAAAATGTATTCATCCATACAAGTTGGCAATTGCTGACGATATGTCACAAACTATTCTGCCAGCTGTCGATATAGAGACTCCAACAAAGTCAGCTACAGAAATTAGCATCGTGCCTAATGCATAGAATCGTACTGTTAATAAAAGTTGATGGAGTACTGAAACTCCATTGTTCCCGAAAATTTAAAACCATCACTGAATACCTACGTAAGTTTAAGTATACAATGTAAAAAAAATCTGCAGGTAGTTAACTCTTCTAATTTTTCGTGAAGTAGCACGGTGTCTATCCTCAGCGTCGATAACTGAGCCAGCACATCCAAATCACTGTCATCACTATCACTAGAAAAAAAATCGATATTTCCATTTTCTTTCTTTAGTAAAATCAACGCTGTGAGCTGTGACGAAATCCCCGGTATTTTTTGGATTGGAATCTGCGATCGTTTACAACCGGTCAAAACAAATGTCAAAATGGACAGATAGGTTATTATCATGCACAAACTGTCTTTTTCGAACAGAGGCCAATCGTTATTCTGTGATCCGCCCTCTATAGGATATTGATTTTAGAGATAGCAAATGCAATGCACAGATCGTTTATTGCCATGCTTTACCCATAAAATGGATTAAAATACCAATCTAGGGTAGCAAAACTTGGATCGGGATTGATTATTAATTTCGGGCGTAACCGTATTCCACACTGACCATCAATGCTTAATTCAACAAGGTTTTCTTGTGCGTGACACACTCACAAGACAGACTGAAAAGTGGATTTGTCTTCCATATCTTAGTTTTTCACACCTCAGTATTAAACAAAGACTCCCGTATTTCTTAGACCAGAATAATGCTATTTTTAGTAATTTCCTAGGAGTACTAACCATCCAAATACCGAAAAAAACTCAGTTCCTTGACTGTTAGACCCAAGGTGTAGCCTATTCTTAGTATTTTGGTTCTATTTGTAGTAGTTATCATTTCTACCAGTATATCATCATTGATATATTGTGTAAAATAATCTTCAAGTTTCCATGAGTCAGCCTCAAC